ACAAGATTAGAAAAATATGCAGACCTGGCCTGTTTAATCATTTCATTTAGAGTTGAGATCAGCTCCTTTAACGTATGGCATGGAGGCTGCACAGCTGCAGAAAGAAAAGCTTTGCAGAGAGTGGTGAAGGCTGCACAGAAGATGTTGGAGTCAGTCTCCCCACCATCACAGACATCTACACCTCCAGATGCAGGAAGAGGACCACCTGCATCATGAAGGACCACACTCACCCAGCACACACACTTTTTGCCCCACTCCCCTCAAGAAGGAGGTTGAGGAGCATTAAATGTAGAACCACTAGACTGAGGAACAGCTTCTACCCTGAAGCTGTTAGACTCATGAATCTCTAACTAGAATAATCACTGTGAAAAACCATATCATGTTGCTGCTGATCTGTTTCAATGTTGCTGCTGATCTGTTTCATGTTGCTGCTGATCTGTTTCAATGTTGATGTGTTCATGCGTGCACATCTGTTCACACAGACTCATGTTCATGTTTGTGCTGATGTTCAGTGTTTTTATATCATGACTGCTTAGTGTATATTTAGTTGATGTTTTTCTTAGTTCATATCTTAGATGTTATCACTGTTTTTCTTATACATTTTATTGTTGGATGTAACTGGGACCCTGTTTACATAATTTCGCTCCACCACATGTACCACATGAGGTGAGAATGACAATAAAGAAACTCTGAATCTGACTCAAGCAGAGTGAGAAAGAAAATAAATATACTGCGCAATATCAACTTAAGTGTAGCTACATTCTGTTCTGATCAATTTCATTTTAAACTTAATTTCTTCAGCATCAATACAAATGTGCCAGAACATGCACAAAATCAGCAACAAGGTACCTTTTTCAAGAGAGAGTGGGGCGTACTTAACCACTATCAGCTGTGACAGAATTCAGTTGACTTCCCAGGTAACCAACGCCAACAATTCTAATAAAACAATGCTCTAATGAGCAATCGAGCAGAAGTTTCACATATAAAAGCAATACTGCTATCTCATAACAAACTCACCAGGCAATCGAATCAGAAAGTTCAAAAATTTGGACCAGTTTGGGTGGAAGACGCCAGCAGCAAGCCACAATCACAGTGGAAACAGGTGAAGATGTTTAGAACTGCGCGCTGGAGACGGGGCTTTAAATAAGTTAGCAGAGTTTGGGGCAACACAGGAAGTGGGCCCGCAAAAATAAAAGTCCTTGACTAATTGCAGGTTACATGTGCCTCCTTGCCTAGCAACCCGTGGGGTCCCAAACACGGAACAGTTTGGAGGACACAGTTCATTCAGATGAATAAATTCCTGTTCCCATTGCCAAGTCTCTGTCAAAAACATGAAGTCCAGAATTTTTTCATTGAACATTCCCCAAGGATAAAAGCTTTATTCACTATGGAGCGAGCATTCAACAGGGCAATCCGTGTTGGTTTTACGCGCACAGCTGCAGGTGCGCTCTGGGCTACAGGACATCACGGCGGCGAACTAGGTCCGTCCACATACCTCTCCTGGCAGGAGATATTTCGAAGGAACTGGTCACGCTTCCTTCTCTGGCCTTGGTGCTTTGCCAGCAGCAGGTACTCGGGTGATGACGTGATGCATTCAAAACGTAGAGGAAAAAACTCTGCATACCTGGCCCAGGTAACGCAGGCATCCTCCATATAATATTTTATGGAAAATAACGTGCGCCGATCATAATGATATTGATTAATAGCCCAAACACAGTTGTTTGGTAGGCTAGATAAAGCAAAATATAATACTAAACAAATCACAAGATTGTGAGATAGATGAGATGGAACAGAAGTCAAGCCGTATACAGGCGCCATCTTGGAAAAAAATATACTCAGTATGAACCAGCATAGCAATGGAATGAAAGACCATGTTTCCTCAGGATAGACCCCAGTGGAAGCAAATAAAGTGAGAACAAAAGGGGTCCAAGAATCGAACCCTGTGGGACCCTGCAAGAAAGAAGTAATGAGGCGGATACATTATTACCAACCTTGACACAGAAACTTCTAAGTGCCACTAAGTGTCTGATTTTACATTAGTAACAGTTTATATTAGTAACATTTTACATTACTCTGCATTTTAGCCAAGGTTCTAGAAAAACTGAAACTCTCAAATCAAAAATTACCTGGACTCATTTAACATCTTACCTCTCCATCAATCTGGTTTCAGGAAGCAACACAGCACAACCACTGCTTCACTGAAGGTTCTTCATGACATTGTTGAAGCACTGGATGCTAAGGATTATTGTGCTGCACTTTTCTTAGACCTGTCCAAAGCTTTTGACACTGTGGATCAGAACATCTTGTGTCAGAAGATCTCAGAAATCGGTTTCTCAGAACACACCATTGGTTGGTTCTCTAACTATCTCTCAGACCGGAGGCAATGTGTTCAACATAATGGTACTTCCTCCAGTTATTTAACAGTCAACAATGGTGTACCACAAGGCTCAGTCTTAGGACCCACCCTCTTTACAATCTACATACATAATGTAGGTAAAAACATCCCTAATGCATCCATACATTTCTATGCTGATGACACAGTTGTTTATTGTCGAGCTAAAACTGTTGCTAAGGCTTTCCAGCTTTTGAAATCTGCATTCAACATCATCCAGACAGATTTGTTTCGCCTCAAACTTGTCTTAAATGCCGACAAAACCAAAGGGATGCTTTTTTCAAATAGTAAGTTGGTCCCAGCAGTTCTTCCTCCGATTTTATCCTCAAATGGTGTCCCCATTGAGTTTGTTGATTCCTATAAATATTTGGGTATCTTGGTCGACTCACATCTTTCTTTTAAGCTCCATGTGGAAAACTTGATAAAGAAACTGAAAGTTAAACTGGGTTTCTTTTTCAGAAACAGATCCTGTCTAACTCTGAATGCTAGAAAACACCTTGTATCTGTGACTTTCCTTTCCTCCATTGATTATGGTGACATTATTTACATGAACGCTCCTACAAGAACCCTGCAGATGTTGGATGCTGCAGATGTTGGATGCTGTCTATCATGGTGCACTAAGATTCATAACTGGCTGTGATTATCGTACCCACCACTGCACCCTGTATTCACTGGTTAACTGGACATCATTAACTTCACGCAGACTCTCCCACTGGTACATTTTCATCTTTAAATCACTTCTTGGTCTGCTGCCTTCATACATCTCCTCCTACATGTCTCTGTGTGAGTGCAGCTACAGCGTGCGCTCTCAGGACATCATTACCTGCAGTGTTCCCTCAGTGAGGACTGAACTAGGCAAAAGGACCTTCTCCTACTCTGCTCCTGTTTCCTGGAATATCTTACAAAAACATTTGAAGCTCTCGACCTTTGACCTCTCTAAGTGTCTTTAAGAATCTGTTGGACACCTGGCAGGGACCAATGCAGACATGTTCCTGTTTTTAGTTTTATACACTCACCTTAGAATCTAGCTGTTTTTTTGTTACCTTTTTTTTTAGCCATCCTATCTGTTTAAAAAATAAAATTAAAAAACATTGGAGTATGCCTTTTTATAACTGTTTATTGTTGTTGCTGTTGTCCATTGTTGTCATCATTCTCTGTTGAAATCAGGTCTCTCTTGTAAATGAGTCCTTGAGGCTCAATGGGATTTACCTGTAGAAATACAGGTTGAATGAAAACATTTTACATTAGTAACATTTTACATTA